TCACGTCTTCAACACGTTAGGAGGAGGGGGAGGGGGAACTCGTAGCAGTTCACCTACTCGCTAAAAATGCTTTGGGAATTTTTTTTATTTATTTATAAAAGAAATTTTTAATACCGACAAGGCACTTTTTTTTTGCACTCGCCATTCTAAGTGATGGAGGCCATAAAGAGGTGCCTTAAAAAAAAAGCTGCCCCCCCCAAAAAAAAACTTGTTTGTGGTGAAGGTGAAGATTAACTCTAAGCGAAATTTCGCTATTTCGCCTCAAGGCGATTCATCTATTCTCACCTCGGTGGTACTTAATGTTTTTTGTAATTAAAGAAACGGTGAGATTTTTCCCATAAACCACCGGAAGAAAAAAGTACGGAACAAGTCTGGTTAACAATTTAATCGCCGTACTCGTCAACTTCCGTACTTGTTTTTCGCACCGGTCTACGTGGCGTGGCACAAGTACACGGATATTACGCACTCTGCTCTTGCACATTTTCCGTAACGAAGTACGGAATTGTTTTGCAGTGAAGAAGCTGCATAAATCGTATCACCATCCGCGGAACAATAGTTCGTAAAAATGCAAAAACCCAGTGAAATTAATTCATCTTAGATTGCTGCAGTCTCTCGACTTTCTCAGTATCTAGCAGGGACTTTATTTCTTCCGCACGCACGCCTCTAGAACATCTTTGACTTAATTGGGTGAAGAAGGGGCTGATAAAGATTGCGAATGTCGTCTGGTATGTTTGCAGCTTATTTCCTCCTCGTTTTTTAAAGTGGTGACACACCTCAAAATCCAACCTTAAGGGTTCAAGGCTCGACTAAGTATAGACTGCCGATTTAATTGGCACCTAGCTCGAAAATGGTAATCTAATCAGCAGCTTACTGCAGTGTACTTAGTACACTCAAATTAGAGTTTATACCTGTAGCCATACTCTCCATAACAGTACAGTTGAATCGGTCAATGGGGACTCGTTCGAGTTTATAGAGTAGATTCGGAATGAGCCGGTCTCCAGTAAACGGAGGTGTGCGGTATTTTGTTCTTCTCTAAATCAACTACCGTGGATTCCCACTTGCAAGTCTCGGGTCAACTCTTTGTTTCACTCGTGGAACTGGTTTCGGTTTGGCTTTGTCGCGGGGCTGGCTGCGCTGCAGACTGATTCCGAGAGTCGTCGCTCTGTCTCTCTCGCACTCCTGGGGCATTCCGTATATATCGATATATCGATATCGATATATATCGATATATCGATGCGAGAGAGACAGAGCGAATAGGGCCCGTGCAGGTCGAGGATCTCGAAACGGTGCTGTTAAACGACGCATAACGTTCCCTTCCGTGCTGGTGGGAAAGCAGCGCGAAGTTCAAATTTGGTTCTCGCGTTTTCGCGTTTTGAGAAGTGACTGGAATTCATCCAACCTTTTACATTGTCGAAATTAAATTAAATAAAAATTTCCGACTCGTGTTGAGAGCTTTTGTGGCATACTCGTATCGGGAAAAGCAGAAAAAGGCTGTTTCGTTTGCCCACCAGCAGCGACGGGTGCGCGGAGTTAACATGGCGTCGACCTAGCAGACATCTTAGTCAACCTAACCTGCACTATCTTGACAAGTTCACTTATTTTGCTTAAGGTTCGGCGTAATCGACTACAGTTTCCTTCTCCAATTATCGTGAACCGACACCGCAACCTGCCGCGATCCTTAGCCACTTTGTTTAAAACCGGTAAAAAATAAAATACAACAAACAGGCACCCCCAGCTGGGTCCCAGTTTGAAGGCTCGCGCGGAAATGCCCACCAGGAGTTTTTGTTCTTCCTCCAGCGGTGCACGGGCCCTATCAGTCTGCTGGCTTTCGGCGCAGCGCTGCTAGCGCGCGCTTGGGCCCCAAGTACCCCTCCAGACTAGAGATGTGCGCTGACCGGTCACGACGCCGCCGCCGTCGAAGGCAGCCGCGCCGCCGCCGCCGGTCGAATCGGTCGGCGTAATCGGCGTGAGTGAAACGTTTGTTGCTGAAGGTCTCAGATCACAAAATACCTCGAAAAACTGAAGTTTTGTTGAGCTAAACACGTTTTCCTGGCAAAAATTTGCTGTCCCAACTTCGCCTTACCTTCCCCACCCCTCTCTCCGCCTTGGCGACGTAGTTGATTAAGATGCCGAAAATCAAACACCCAGAAAGTAAATGGTCTATTACGTATTTAACTTATGTATTTGTTAATAACTTGCTCTATTTGCGCACTTATATCATTTTTGACATGTGATTGACTAAATTTTAAGACCCAATGGTTAGTAAAATCAAAATTTTATTCACGCCGAATACGCCGATTACGCCGCCGCCGCCGGCCTTAAATTGGCCAAGCGCCGCCGCCGACCAAACTGGGGTCGGCGCACACGTCTACTCCAGACACACCTCCAGGCCTCCACACCGGTAGCAGCGAGTTGCAGCGGCAGCCGACCGGGAGAAAAGAATGACGTCACTGGGACCGGCGAGACGAGACGAGACGGGGCGGGGCATGGCGGGGTGGAAGGACAAGGGACGCACCGAGCTTTGAGTTGCTCGGCGCTGATTAGGACCGGCCGAGCAGGCTGTCGCTCTGTCTCTCTCGCACCCCCAGGGACGCCGCTCGAGTGCGAGGGAGACAGGAAGCGCCGCCGCTGGGACGCAGCGGACGCAGCGGACGCAGCCCGCGTGGTATTGCCATGGCATTGCCATGGCATGGCGGGCCGCGGGACGTGCGGCTCAAAGTCCGGCCGCGTGTATGGCTGTATGGCACATCGGAATCACACGGGAGCAGCCTGAGAGCCATGATGAGAGCAGGGCCCGGCCAGGGCCGGCCAGGGCCGGCCAGGGCCAGCTCGCATGATGCAGTGGTGTCGCCTTGGCTGACCCGCGGGCACACTGTCAAAATTTGTCGTCACGACGTTTCAATCACTTTGAAACTTGATGACGTTTCATGGCTGAAACGGATCCTGGTTTTCCGAGGCAAAGACATGGGGTGGTTCGAGGGAAAACCAGGAACCTTGCCGTGTTTAAGCATGGCTTTGTTGTCAAGTGACATTTGAAATTTTGGCAGTGCAGGACTGTGTGGCTTTCTTCGCGGTCCTCGCTCTGCGGGCCTTCCTTTTCGACAAACACTGGCGCTGGGCACACACTCCCGTGAGGCCTGCCTTTGTTCCTCTTCCTTGTCGCGCTGTGCAGGACTCTGCGCGCCGGGGCTTCTTGGTTTCGGAAGACGAGCATCGGCTGGAGCTAAAGTGTGACCCTCGCAGACGGGAAAGCAGTGTAATGAGTTACGCCCCCGTCGGCCGCCGCCAGCAGCGTGTCTCTTGTCTCTCTCGCACTCCTGATGAATGCCCCGTGAGTGCGAGAGAGACAGAGCACCGCTCGGAATCAGCCTGCGGGCCGCCACCCACTAATGGAGCGAGCGCCATGCGTTGCCCGGCCATGCCGAGTGAATTTGGCCGTCTTTGGCGTGGCGCGGCGCAGTGGGCCAGATGACCAGTGGAGGCGGTCAAAATCCCGGACGCGTTTTGAGCTCCAGAGTCACCAAATGGGACTCGAACCGAACGTTTGACCCCACCAATGGATTGCTCTCCGAACGAGGAATCCATAGGTGGGGTCACACGCTCGGTTCGAGTCCCACTAAGCGACTCTGGAGCTCGAAACGCGTCCGGGATTTTGACCGCCTCCACCGGTCTTCTGGCCCACTGCGGCGCGCTTCTAGCGGCTTGGCGCCGCCGTTTAGCCACGTTCAGTGCCTCGTTGCCTTTTCCAAAGGGGGAGGGGAGGGGAGGGGGCTGATCGACAGACGCATTTTGGCAGGCGTCCAGATCCGCATGGCACGGCCGGGATGGCCGCATGTCTTGGCCGCACGGCGCGATGCGTCGGTACACTGGTACACCTGCACCAGGCAAAAGCGGACTGCCATTTTGTTTCGTGATCTTGATTGGCCTGTGGGATTTTGCGACACTTTATGGTCTGGACTTGGTGAGAGAGTCGAGGATGGCTGAAATTGCCTTGTCCAGCGCGCACTGTACGGACCTTTGATTTGCGACTTTGTTTTTCGAGTGTCGTGTTATCAATTATGCATCCGATGATGTCCGTCGAGGCGTCCCGGTCGGTGGCACGTGTCGGACTTCGCATCGCAAGCGAGCCAGGTGCCAGGGTAGGCAACCTAGGCAAGCCAAGTAACCCACCCCCCAAATGGCTGACCATCAATTGTGGTCCAACCTCTCAAGTTCAAGTTCAAATTCGAGTTCAACCTATCTTGGCAACCCGACGGCACCGGTTCTCCTTTCCCACAGGCCGGCTGCGGGCTGGGGCAACCACAATGACTGCTTATTTGTATTTTAATTGTATCTGCAAACTGTGATGTCATTACTCGTCTGCCGGAGGAGTGGGTTTGACGTCATATACTTTCCAGATACGATTTTTTCTGAACAGGGGCCTAGAGGCCTGCTAAGCAACGGCCTCCTAACAAGCTCTGTCCAGCCGGCAAATGGGGCTGTTAAGATCCAGGGTCGCCGATAGCACTGCCCCCTGTCTGGAAATGTAACTTGTTCGCTCACTTTTTGCATATTCTAATTGTTTCTGTTGGTATTATTGGAACACCCAATTCCCAGGTTGTGCGTGAAGCTCCCGTTTCTTTTACCTGACCACGCTGGTGGCGTACGTCACTGCATCTCTCTCGCGACGTCTTGGTCCGCTTTTCATTCATTTTCGTTCGTGACATTCATTCGGATGGATGCATATCCGAAGGACAATGAAACGCTCACCGTGATTTGATGCCAATGTGACCGCTCCAAGGGGAAATAACTCCAGCCAAATTGTACATCGAAATTCATCAAACATGTAAAAGTCACTGAAGTTCATGAAAATTCATCGAAACTTGACTGAAATTCGACTGAAATTGATTGCATTTGTACACCGAAATGCACAGTGATTTCCCCTTGGACCGCTTTTAGTGAAAATTGAGACGGTTCGCTGATTGCTGGCCTGTCTCCTCACGGACCCGTGCTTGTTGCAGTGTCGCCCGGGCCATGGTGGATGTGCTGACGGCGCGCGTGCAGGACATGTACTCGACCTACGTCCCCAGGGGCGCGGCGCACGCCCCCGCGCCCCCGCAGCCCATGACGGTGGCCGGTGGCGCCGCCATCCAGGATGACGGCATCACGGGCATCGCCATGAAGAGGATGGCGTCCTACCAGCGCAGCCAGCGCCGACTCGCCAACCAGGAGCTCACGAAGCAGGTAAGCTCGCTGCCAATTGGCCCATCCCTCGGCGCCTAGATCGCCGCCTAAAATGTAGGCAGGCGCAAAGCCAGACTTTGCCTTGCCCCCGTATCTCAGTGCGCCAGAAGACCGGTGGAGGCGGTCAGAATCCCGGATGGGTTTTGACCGCGGCGCGTGAGTCCGACTGGCTGTTTAAAGTCTTGACTTGTCTCCGCGTGAAACAGAGTTTGATATGAAAGTGGGTTCGTCTGCTTCGTCCAACAGATTAGCGACAAGCGGCTCTTCCTGCTCAAGGACACGCCCTGGGACGTCCTGCACGAGAACTTGCGGCGCCCCCTCATGGGGCTGGCCTGCAACGCGTGCAACGCCGACACGCGGGTGAGTACTTCCCTCTGCTCCCCTGTGCTTCCCTCTGCCCCCTTGTACTTCCCTCTACTCCCCTGTGCTTCCCTCTGCCCCCTTGTACTTCCCCCTGCCCCTTTGTACTTCCCTCTGCCCCCTTGTACTTCCCTCTGCCCCCTTGTACTTCCCTCTGCTCCCTTGTACTTTCCTCTCGCTCCCTGCGGGTCGGGGCCCTTGGCCCTGGGCCCTTACTTTGGGTCGTCTGGGCGCGGTGTGTATTAGCGGAAAAGGAGAATGGGAGGGAGGCCAGGTGGCTAGAGACGGGGGAGGGGAGGGAAACTATTTTTACCCCCAACACTGAAGTAGGACAGTGCAACACAAACATGGAGGAGGTAGACGAGTGGCATGGCTCTTTCAGCAAGTGTTGTGAGGTTGATTTGGTTTGATACAGGCCGTGTTATTTGGTCTGCACTGTGTAAGTAACCGCTTTTTTGTGTCGTGTTTCAGGCGCAGGCTAGGGATGTACAGGACAAGTCAGTCAGTTTGCGCAACATCCTTCAAGAAGAGTTTTCGTCAAACACCTCATTCCTATCACAAACCTTCAAACACTTAGCTCAAGTTTACAATGTGCGCAAGTTTGATTATCCTACCATAAATGAATCTGTAAGTTTTTTTCTTTCAATCTTATTCTCTGGGGGCTCTGATTTTTCTTGTTAATCACTTCTGTTAAGTCCACATTCAATTTGACTGTGCAGGTTTTGAAAGATGAACGTCTTAGGGAAGCTATCGCCCACACAGCAAGGGACCAATGCAATCAGAGAGGAGAAACAAGTGAAGAAGCTCTTGAAAAACTGGTCCGTAGTCATGAAGTCCGTGCAAAGCGCCTTTTGGATGAAATGCGGTCTAAGCTGTCAGATCTTTTGCTCAGGTAAGTTAATTATTAAAGTGCATTTTTATTTAGAATGGTTTACTCCTTCCCTAACACTCCTTCATCTCATCTTGTATTTTGTTTTTTCTATTTTTATCTACAGGTTTACATCTTGGGTTCTCTTGAAGTTGCTGCCTTGTTTTTTAACTTCAGTAGTGGTTCATCCCAGCCAAGTAGAAATGCTACAAAAGGCTGGGCGAAGCGGTTTACCTGTTATTTTCCTACCTCTGCACCGTTCGCACCTGGACTATATCCTTGTTACTTTCATCCTCTTAAACATTGATGTGAAATCTCCAATGGTGGCAGCTGGTGACAATCTCAAAATTCCAGTCTTTGGGTAATGTATTTTACATATCTTAAATCTTCCATCAAAGCCGTCTAATTTTTATGCGCCTATTTATATGTGTGTTCATTTATTTTGCAGTGGCCTTCTTCGAGGCTTGGGTGCTTTCTTCATCAAGAGACGAATGGATCCTGTGGCAGGGCGCCGGGATACTGTTTATCGTGCTGTCCTTCACACTTACATGATGCACTCCCTTCGTGCTGGCCATAATTTGGAATTTTTTGCAGAGGGTGGACGCACTCGTACTGGAAAAGCTTGTATGCCTAAAGGTATTTGCTATGCAACATTTTTCTTGCACTCTGAATATTTCTATAAAATAAGTGTTCCACATTCTTATTCAAGTAAAATGATTTCAGGAGGGCTTCTTAGTGTTATTGTGGATGCTTACATGGATGGCACTGTTCAAGATGCTTTATTGGTCCCTGTAAGTCTTAATTATGAAAAACTTGTGGATGGTAATTTCACAAGAGAGCAGATGGGTCAACCAAAACAAATGGAATCATTTACTTCCGCTATTAGAGGAATATGGAAAACCTTGACTTCAAACTATGGTTCTTGCCGCATTGACTTTAATCAACCGTTCTCGCTTCAGGTAAAATATGTGAAACATTTATAAATATTTTTCTCAGTATGTAAAATTTTTGAAGCAAACTTATTTTTTGGAACGTAATCTAGGACATGATCAAGTCGTTCCAACAATCTCAAATCTCACATTTGAGAAGAAATGTGCTTGAAGATGATGAGGAAGACGTCCAAAGACCAAAGAAGCATGAAAAAAAAATCCTTCAGTCCACACCCTCTAGCTCCTCCTTGTATGGGACAGATGTGGTGGTAGAGGAGCACAGGCAACTGGTAGAGAGCATTGCTAGGCATGTGATCCATGGTAAGCAAACAACCTCATCTTGAAGTGTCTTCCTATTTCAAACTGTTAATTTTTTTCTATATACCTATTTAAAAAATTTAATTTACAGATTGCACTAAGTCTACAGCAGTCATGACCACCAACATTGTTTCATTTTTACTGCTTTCCTCATTCCGTGATGGTGCTTCAATTGATGAAATTGCAATTGCACTGGATTCCCTAAGAAGGGAATTAGAATGGGCTGGTCGTGATTGTGGATTTACTGGAAATTCTTTGGATGTTATCAACTATGCTGTAAGCTTTATTTTAAAAACTACTTTTCTCAAATATTTGACTTGAAATTTTGCTTGTTACATGTGCCTTTTAAAACATGTTTTTGTTGGTTTAAGGCTGAGCTGCTGGGTGAAGGTCTAGTGAAACGTGAGAGGCACAACATAAATGGAGAGGAGAAATTAATTGTCAAACCTGTCACAACTCTCCCCAATGTAATAGAGCTCTCATATTACAGCAATGGTCTGTTATCTCATTTTGCTGTTGAAGCTGCTTTAGGTCAGTGGAAGACACCTAATTAAACCGTATGATTAAAAAAAAACATGAAGTGCAAAGTATTGCTCACTTGTTTTTATTTTCACAGCCACTGCACTTATTTCTCTTATTGGATATAACCCTGTTGATTCCTCTCAACCCTCTGAGTCAGTGAAATTTACCTTGAAAGAAATTATGGAGCACTCAAAAGCAGTCTGTGATATTCTTCAATTAGAATTTATTTTTGCCAAGCCTTGTCAAAATCTTGACTCTGTTATTAATGATGCTCTTCAAAGCCTGGTAGAAAATGACATTCTAGAGCAAGTACAGGTCAGTAAACTAATATATCAAAGTTAAAATGAATACAAATATTAATTTGCTTTATTAGTAAAATTCATTCTTTTCTTCCCTAACAGGAGATGCTCACTGAAGAACAAGAATGGAGTAACCGTTATGCCAAAAATATAGACCAGGACAGTGATGAAGATTTTGAAGAAAGCTCAGGCCCTGAGTATCGGGTAAGTTGTTGGTCTACCTTACCTTTTTACTGAAACACATTCATACACTAGCTGTCTTCCTACAATTTCCTGTAAACTTGTTCCATCAGGTTAATTTAAAAAATAAGGAAGCTATGAATAGATTGCTCGGCCGCCAAAGCCTTATTCAGCCTTTGATAGACACTTACATTGTAACAGCAATGTCCTTGAGGTTCCTTGTTGAAAAAGAACTCACAGAGAGGGATCTCATGAAAAAGATATTGGGTGAAGTACAATCACATCTGGACGAAGGGTTTGTTAAATGTGGTAAGTTGATAGTTCACTCACCAGAATTCATTCATGCTTTACTTAAGCAAGACAATCTCTCATTGTTGTACTTACTTTTCTTTTCAGCGGAGAGCGTTTCAACAGACACTATTAAAAATGCTCTGAAACTGTTAGAGCGCTGGGACATAGTGGAATGTCACACCCAAGATCGTGTCAAGTTGTACTATTTAAGTTCCAAGTTTGACAACATAGACAGTTTATTAGAGGTTGTCAACTTTATTGGAGAATTCAAAATTGACTTTCATAGGGATGATTCGTGACTGGTTACTCCATAATTAATATGTGTTGATTAGTTCATTTTTTTCTTTTTCTTTAAATATTAAGACTGTGTTGCTGTATTCGAAAATGTACACTTCTTTCTCTGTGCACTGTCCGTTTCTAGAAAGCAACAATGATCATTTAACTTATTGTTCTCTGAAGGCTTTACTAGACTAAGTTATGACTAGAAGAAAGAAGCCACATGTTTGTGAAGTATTTCCAGTTTTATTTAAATTCTTTTTGTTTGCACCCACCCCCTCTTTAAAAAAAAACAAAGAAAAACATGTGTTGTTCTTGAAAAGGGTTGCTCATATCTCAAATATGTTGGGTCTACTGTATCTTAGTTATGTAGTGTACTTCAAAGACAATATACTGCAGGGTAGTACTAGAGCTCTTGAATTTTGGTGAGAGTACATAATCAGCACAATCCAAACATAATTGATATACACCTGCTCCTTTCTTTGATAGAGATGGGAATAGTGTTTATATAGGGAGATTGTCTGAGGAGGCAAATGAAAATTTCTTCTTTAATTTAGGATGTTATTTTCTAGTCCATCATGAAGTGGAGTGTGAACTGAATGTTTTGACTAAGTTTAAATGTGTGTGAATGTTAAATGGTGTCTGATATTTTATATTTGTTTTCCATGATTGTGAGATACTTGGCCACACTATCTAAAATATTTTGATGAAATGAAAGGGATAGATTTTAAGATAAATAAGCTCAATGGTCTTTAATTTATTTATACTTGTTTACTTCAATTCATGTTATTAGGATTGAGCTGTGACACTATGAAACCAATTCTTAAAGTTATGATGAGCTGCTGCAGTGCTGCTGTGTATGATTTTATTATTATTAATGAAAGCAAAATTAGGGCAGTCGGACAGTGATACAATGACTTCAATAAACAAAACGCCTGCCAGTTCAAGACATATGTTCTGAGAAACTAGCCTAATCATAGTAATTTCTTTCGTATGGCAACTTTTGATATACTTAACCTGGATTTAATGATTTTCTTCTCTTGGATTTCCATGTTGTAGTACCAAAGCAGTAGTGCATACTGCTAAGATAATCATGTATTTTATTTTTTGCAGAAGAGCCTTAATTTCAAACTATTTCTCTGACTTTCTGAAAGTGTTCAGATGATGTGCTCTGTGCATTGCAATTCATTCACTTCTTTTCTAAACCCATAAACATTTTCTTTCATTGTGAGCATTTAAATTTTGTGGAGCATTAGTTATTTTCTACATTCCATTGGTTTAGATCCCTAGGTCATGTCTGTGCACTAATCTAAGGTGGATAGCCTGCAATTGCTGTGAACTTTTCCTGCACCAGAGCCAAGCCATGCCGGGGGACAGTTTTAAGCTCTCTTAATGTTGTTGGGTTGATCATGTAATCACCAAACCTATTTGTACCACATATATTTTCCCTCTTGTACCAAATCTATAATGTACTGATGAATGTAATATATTTTTGTACCTCATCCTCTCAAATACACTCTTCAATGTGAAAGGTTCTTATGTTACACAAGTACCTGTCAACGTATGGGGCCAAGCTAGCAGCCCGAGTTTCAAAAAAGTGCTCTTTTCTATGTTTTGACTGTTAGGTATAGGACTATTATACTGACAATTATCAAATGTTCTGTATGTTGAATGTTTCTTATCAGCCAAATGTGTTGTCCTTGACAATGTAACCTTCAACATGACTTCAATAAATAATAATTATGAAATTGAGATTTCTTTCTGAAAGATTCTTTTACACAAATCCGTACATTCATCTATAACCAACGCATCAAAGCACATCAAAGCAATGCTGACACACTGCTGTTAGATAAAAATTGGCTTCTTCTTTTTTTTTTTTTTCAGGTGGAAGGGGCGTCATTGGGTGCAGTTCAGTATACTTAAATAGCTGGTAACTAAATTTATTATAAATTGTTGAAATTCCATAGTTACAGCTACAGCACAAGTAAAGAACATGTCTACTGAACATAAACACAGGCTCCGAATGCACACTTAACAGAAAGAAGATGATCACAACACACAGGTTTGCAGTGTATTCAAACGGGTGCAGACAAACTTGAAGACTACCATTTCTCAGACATGTTATTTTGAACTGATTGAACTGTATTTAAAAAGGTAGTTCTCTGCATCCTAAAAGAAAAAAAAAAATCAGAACTTTGTAGCACTTGACCCAAGTTGCCAGCAAAAACAAATAATTGCAATAGTCCACTAAGAGACATAATAACTATTATTATAATAAAATATATGATAAATACATAACAGGTAGAAAACAAATCAACGTAGCAACACTTCCAGTCCATCTCTCACCCACACAGATTCATTAAACTTTTGTTTCATTTCAAATAAATAGTAATTGTTATTTTGTATGCATTCTCTTTGCTTCTTTCAATAGCTTCTTGTTCGTCAGTCCATCATTATTGGATAAACAGAAGTACACTTTCAACCCCAGTTTGAAGCCTGAAAACTAAAATTTGCAAGTGTACAGCACTATGGACTAGTATTCAACCATACAAATATATGGATTGGCACACCATAGGTTTATACTAGAACTAGTTATGTAGAATAAGATAAATTATGCGTTGTACAGAGAATACATTGACAAGAGTTTCACTTGTACCCAGAAACAAAAAGAAGAATCTATCGAGATTAATCTCAATGAACATTACAAACATATCACACTTTGCATCTCAATTGGTTAGCACGAAAGAAAAAAAAATACTGCAGATTTCTCACAACAATGAATCAATCCCAGATAACACAAGAAACTGAATAGATTGTATAAGTGCAATGTGAAGCTAACAAAGACCATAAATTTCACTCATTGTATTTTGAAGAAAAAGAGAACCAAGAAGAGAGAAAACTATGTATTCAACAAAACTAAGTAGATGGGATACAGCACAAAACCAAACAAACTTTAACAAAGTAACTAATAAAATTGGTCGCCAAAGTCTTAAAAAAAAGCAAAAAAAAAAAACCTGTAACAACTCAAAACTTTAGCAAATCAGTTCATTCCACAACACTGTTTATCCGTAAACAGGCACAGATTTCTTTTACTTAGTCAACAAATGACATGTCTATATTGTTCTTAATGCATTCTCCCACATTTTGCACTCCACAATACAATTTCTTTGAATAAAATAACTTGGGAGCAATGGGCCTTGCATGATTTCCAAAACATTTTCATACAAATTTTCAGTTGAGAAGGGGACACTAGAAGCATCAAAGGCTTCATAAGAAGAATAATTAAAAGTATCAGTATACTTTAAAGGAACATTTTTTGAGATGTCAAGAGGTGTCCACCTCTTCTTATGAAAATACTGGGTTTTAAAAAAAAGTCTTAGATATAGCATTCAGGGATGATAATAGACCCTGTAGTACAGAGTTTTGGATCGCCACAAGCTGTATGAGTTGTCAAACTTTAATAAATAAACTCCTTCACCAGGATATTGGTGAATTCCAGCATACACCTCCTCTTGGCAATCCCGTCTGTATACAGGAACGATGACGGAGACAAGAGGTCGATTTAGAGAACTTGACTTATGAACCTTCTCTGAGGCCGCTTCAATATCGGAGCCTTCAGGGTACACTGAATGGCAAAAAAACAAACCAAAGAATGAGCATTCATGCAAAACAGCCAGGACACATTATGATTCAAATCTAAGTTCAACTCTTACCGATCTCTTCATCATCATCCTCCTCATCTTCCTCCTCATCTTCGCTTTCTGAAACATGCAAGGTAACTGCACTTGTTGTTGGCTTCGTCCATTCAAAATAGACACCAAAACCAATGTCATAGCTGTCAGTTGCAAACTCCCAGTATAAACTGTTGCCTTTTTCATGAGTAGGGACTCTGAGCTGCTCAAACACAAAGATAAAAGCAAGCATTTAAAAAAAAACAAATCAGTGCATAAGTACAAAGGTTATAAGAAAAAAAAATAATAATAATAAAAAAATAAGTGGTACTTACAGTGACTGTTTCACCATGGCCCACCTTAATCACTGCCTCACTGGCCTCTTTTCTAATTGAGTCCTTAAACTCCTTGAGGTCTTTGTGAGTCCACATTGATGCTGGAGATATCTCTGGGAAGTCTGGAAAGCAAAATATAAGTGGATATGTTAAAAGTTTGTTCAACAGAAGAGAGATAAAAACAGCAAAAGGACACAAATAAATACCAAGGGAACGTTCTTCATCTCTGTCATGGTCACCATCCTCCAGATCCCCATGGGATATAATTGTTCCAGTGCTTGTGGCCATAGGCAAGGTCTTAGTACCATTTGTATAATAGGTGATGTTCTCATTGGCAAGATTTGGAACAGAGCATTCCTCCCCATTTTCATTTGTTGAATCCCCTCCACTCATTTGCTGATGCAGGAGTTGTTGCATGTATTGGTGGTAATGTTGTTCTTGCAGCTGGCGTATCAGGACAGCTTGCTGTAAACAGTGCATGATGACAATCAACTGGATTTCGCAGAGGAGAGTAAATGCATGTATGTAATTATTTTGTTTATTGAAAATGCCTTACCTGTTCTGGGTTCCCTGGAAACTGCTGCTCAGCGTAACATTTGAACTGAGCAAATGTTTGCTGATTTAAGGCTTCTTGAATTTTCCTCCTGAGGGTTTAAAACAGAAAACACTTAGTACTTAGGTAAATAAAAAGTTAGCAAAATTAAGGAAGCTCAAAATAATCGCACCTTTGAGCTTCCTGTTGAGATGCCTCTTCCTCTCTCTGACGTTCCTCCTCTTCTCGTATTCTCTTCTCCTCCTCCAGTTTCTTTTGTTTTTCTACTTTCTCTTGACTGAAATAAAATTAAAACCATTCTTTTGATGACCAATCAAACTAATTCATAAACCTTTTCACATTGAAGGGTAGATTCACTCACGCTTGTCTTTCTCGCTCCTCCCCATCTCTTTTATGAGCTTCAATAAATGGCTTGAAAAGAGGACAGAGGGAATCTAACATGTCTGTGAAGTTTTTCATAGCCTCTTCTTGAGTCATTTCTCCTAATGCCTGCCATGCCAATCTAAGAAAAAGCAAATGAGATAAAATATACTCAGTTTGTAAATTTCTTCCAATAATCAACAATGGATAAAATTATTTTGATACAAACACAAACTATATTTAGGTCATTTGAAATATAAAGACAGAAGCTGAGAAACAAATTGAGTTTATCTCGTTTATCTGACCTACCTTCTGTCTCTGCCAGGAACATCCAAAACACCTAAAGGGGGAAGTTTCTCATCATTATATTTTCCACGGATTACTTGTTGGGTGTAGGCAACAAGTTTTAGCTTGTCTTGATAAGAAAAGTTCACAGCTTTCCCTTCTTTCTCTGCAACAATAAATATAAATCATGAAAGTGAATGATCCTTGGTGTCAAACATAACACTCATGCCAAATTCAAAGTCCAGATAGGCCCTTTGCTGAGATTCCATGACACCCTTGGTATAAATGATAAAAACTAACAAAAGGTCGAGAATTGGCTGCTCGGGTGGAAAATAATGAAGAGCCAAACAAGAAGAGCAAACTAGAGGTGTCACCCTCCACAACAACAGCTGAAACACTCAAACACTGCTTGAGTGACGTTTCAGTGAATAGGTTAAGTGACCAAGCAGTAGACAGCGGGTCCACCCACCTCTGTAAAACTGAACGGCCAGGCGGTACAGGTCGCTCAGTCGGAGGCCCCATTTTTCGTAAACGTCGCTCAGTTGATTCCGGCCGTTCTCCACCAATGCCGGGCCTGCAGGTTCCTCATTGACGGACAAAGCACTGAAATCTTCGATGTGGGAATCCGCGGACCGCTCTGTGGTGGCCATTATTTTTGTGATTGAAACGTCGCCGTCGCCAACCAAGCTCTCACTGCGGATGACATTGCTATTCCGTTATGGGGTAGAGGGTCGCAGTGAGGCTAGCTAGAGCGGCGATCACATGGTATGAGAAATTCATTGAGCACCCATTGTAAAGGGCGGTTCATTTTTTTTGCCGGTGATAGGTGTTCCTTAGCGTACGGACTGACAATTTTCAGGAGAAACAATCGATTGGTTAAATATAAGCACGCCGTCCGAGTGGAAAAGCACGGCTATGGCTACCGCCGTTTCTCATAGACGCACCAGTGAGCGTTTGCCGCCTGGTAGTGAGGCAACCCATTCGACATCGCGGCTCCGGCTCCTACCGGCTCCCCGTCCTGGTTATTGAAAGTATTTCTATTGAGGGCTGGACCACAAGTCATCCCGTAAGGGCGGATCCAGGGACGGGTTCAGGGGGGGGGGGGGCGATGTCGCGAAAGTTGCCTACCTACAGGGGTAATGTGCGACTTTTTGCCTACCTTTCAGGCGGCTTCGCCGCCTTCAGGGGGGGGCGACGCCCCCATCGCCCCCCCCTTGGATCCGCGCCTGTCATCCCAGTGAGATGGACAGACAGCACTTGCACTGTTTCTAAGTGGAAGCTTTTGAGTTTCGTCACGATTCAGCTGATGACACCAACTCGCACTCGCCAGCCGGACCTAGCCGGACCCCGAAGAGCCAATAATGTGGTCGACTGCGATCGCAAAGCAAAGAAATCACAGGCATGAAACGGGCAAAAAGAATAAGGGCACTTCGTGCCCAAAAAGAATCAAGATGTCAGCGTGAAAAATGTGTTTGCTGGACAACAGGGCGTCTTGTGGAGTAGCATTGAAACTGCTTGACTCGGCCACGTGAGAAACGTAGCGGGCCCTTATCAGGGCGTGGTGGGTGAGGATCTGGAATCGTTTCCTTCCGTCGACAACGTGCGCGTCCCATGCGTGTCCCGTGCGTGTCCCGTGCGTGTGTCTTGTCGCCCCTCCGTCTTTCCGCGTCTTGCCACCAGACACGTGCGCGCCCAGAGGTGCCTAGAGGTGCCTAGAGGTGCGCGCCTAGAGCGACCTAGCTGGGGTGCCGAAGGGTGCCGGGGTCACACCGGCACACGGCTATCGGCCGCCATCGCCTGCATCGAGCCCAACCGACGGGTACCGGGCGGGGCGGGGCGAGGCGGGGCGGGGCAGGGCGGGGCGGCGCGGGGTTGTGGGGAGGAAAAGGAAATCGGGAGCATCGGGATTTGCATAAGTCACGGATAACGACCAGACACTCAGCTACCTACCTGCCGCGCGGGCCTCACACGACACCTCGCCTTCCTCAAACCGTTCCCATCCAGGCCAAAGCGACACACACACACACACACACACACACACACACACACACACACACACACACACACACACACAACACCTCTTTCTCACCTTCACACAATCAGTCCCTCCCCACCAGGTGGAAAAGTTGATTTTCCCACGAATGCAGGTCGCAAGGGAGGTGAACCTGTCGTGGTGAACCCCGATGAACTCAAGGTCCCGCCGAGGCCTGTGGCTACTTCCCCCTACCCCTCTTCCCGCCCACCGAGTTGACACTGGCTGGCACTTCCCTGTGCCAGTGCGCTGGGCGACGCCGTGCCGACGCCGCGACTGCCCCAAAAAGAACGCCAAACACTCACGAAGCAGTCAGAGGAAGTCAAAATGACGTCAAAATGATGCTTTTGTCAGTCTCAGTCGGCTACTCCCGAAGCTGGGTTTGTTTAGCATACATTTAAAAATTAAGCGCGAAACTGCCCGTTGTTGCGCAGTGCGTATTAGTGCATATTCTGAATTTCGTGCAAATGCCCCCAAAAAATTAATTGTAAACTACTGTTTTCCTTTGACGCGAAATCTGTGTTTTTTCTTCGGGTGATTCGGGGTGGCCTGAAACGCCCGATGAGGAAAACGCAAGCCCCACCCACACCCCAGTCCCTCCCGAACCCAGTCCCCTGTTGACGGCGACTCGAATCGCTCGAAACTTTGATCCGATGACTCGCGAGGTGCCAGTCACGCCGCGAACCCGTTCGAACTGGCCGAAACTAGCGCCCCGTAAAACGAGCACCAGTGTTCCACTTCGAACCCCTCCCCTCCCCGTGTCCCGATTTTGGCTCCGTCAGAATGTGAAAGAAGAAACAAAACCAAATCGCGGCTACAACGTAACAGAAACTGTCCACAAGTTAGCATCATGGAATGATCATGGTAACGGTTCATGTTTGTTCATTCATTGATTTTGCATGGTTCGCCCAGGCATATTTGCCGACGTTTTTGTGAAGTCATCAGGCAAGCGTCGTCTGCTGTCCTTTGCTTTCGGTTTCCCACGGCACAACGTACCCCACTCCGACAGCGCGGCCAGCGCGGCCGGTAGGGCACGGCCCTGACGCGGCCGCCTACGTGGAACAATTTTACACCGCCAAAAAGAGTTTAAGAACTTTGGAGAGCGAGCAGAAAACAGGCCCTGATCGGACGGCCTCTATTGGCGGTGAAATTGAAACTGAACGAGGATTGGCCAACGCTCTTAAGTGAGCGCCTGGCGGGTAGGCATCCCTGCAAAGCAGGCGTGCCCGGCGGGCGGGCCTATCCTCGCTTGCGCGGGCGCTCGCTCGGGGCGGTTTTACCTCGGGTTTTACACTGCTACCGGCGGCAAGTTTGGCTGCCAAAAAATTGTCGAACCGTATTGAGTGCTGAAAATTGGCAAGCCTTGACCCGAAATCTTCACCTGCATGCCAGTATTTGGCGCTTTTGGCCGCCTACAGTGCCGAAGTCTGGTAAGCTGAGGCATATTTCGGGGTCAGACCTGCCAAGTTGGTATTCAAAACCGGCCTGCCAATTTTGCGGCCAGCAAACCTGTCTTTTCAGTGTACTCGATAAAACACCAAGTAAGTTATAAGCACAGATCCTTGTCTTGTCTCCGCCGTCGTCGACAGTGTCGTCGACATTGCCGTCGCCCCCAGCAACAGGCTGGACGCATCCACGTCGACGGCTGGGCCGCCGGCCGGGCCGATGGCTGACAAATGCCGTCGCATTTTCGAGCGTCGCGTCGCCATGCGTCGCGTTGTCGTCGAGAGATCTACCTCAAAACGCCCCGATGAATTCATTCATGGCCCCGCAGCCCAGCAGACTGATAGTCATGTTCGTCGCTCTGTCTCCCTCGCGCTCCTGGGGCGTTCGGTGTAGGTGCGAGATCGACGGAGCGACGAAACCGTCTCTCGGCATCAGTCTGCTGCCGTTCGCTGAATAATGGCCTTGTCAGCCAGAGGACTGTCCGAGGGACTGTCGCCCGGGGCAGCCAAGGGCACACTGCAAGAGGCTGGGCGGGCGGAGGAGGCCATGCAGTCCGTGTTGCTAGGGGCATCAAAGGCAGAGCCGGCCGAAAGGAGCTGGAAAGGGGCACAGGGGCAAGCACTCCCCCTTTTCAGCACCAGCGAGCTGAGCTTCAGGCTGAGCCCCGGTCGGAGCTCAAGTTAGGGCAGAGGAACATACAGGCAACGGAAACACCTTGAAATCGCTCCCGGTCGTCGCCATGCCCTCGACGGGGAAGTCCGCCACGGACGCGGCGCGACGCGGCGAGGCAAGCTACCCGAGGCCATGGACCGACGCGGACCCTGGCCGGAGGGCTGCCAGAGACTGCCGGGGCTCATTATGCAGGCGTCATTTTGAACCCGTGACGTTTTAATGTCGCGACCGGCGTGTCCGTCGGTGCCCGTGGACTCCGTGGACGTGTCCAGCGGGGCTCACATGTGTCGACATACGGACGACACGATGGGCCCGCGATATCCTGCGGGTGGCCTGGCCGGGGCGCGTCCCATCAGATCCAGGAGTAGCCGCGGTGGCGGCAGAGACCCGATGTCTTCACAGGGCGACACACAGAGAACACAGAAAACAGTTACAAACAAAAAGAAAAATAGCACTCTATCGTGATGTTCGCCTTGTCACCGCAGCACACGATTACGAGCTAAAGTCCTTCAAATAAAGGAAACTCGGATGCCTTTTTTCCGCGACTCGGACGCGTTTTCCGGTTCAAGTTTGTTGGCCAGTACGTCGAGGCTGGGGCCGTGCACGGTAGCCGGCGGTTCATGTCCATGCCAAAGGAGTCCGTGCCGCCATCATGTCGCTTGGCCCGGCTCGGCCCCCGCGGGGGCTCCGTGGGGCTCCCAGGTCCGGCCGGGGCGCCGCCACGTTCTGGAGTCACGACACAGCAGCGGCACCAACATGGCGGAGCAGCGGGCCACCACCTTCGGGGGTGTTCAATGAATTTTCAGCCTCCTCCTCCCTCCTCCTCCTCCTCCTCCTCCTCCTCCTCCTTCTTCTTCTTCTTCTTCTTCTTCTTCTTCTTCTTCTTCTTCTTCTTCTTCTTCTTCTTCTTCTTCTTCTTCTTCTTCTTCTTCTTCTTCTTCTTCTTCTCTCATCACGGCTGTGTCGCCTCCGTGTTCAAATCGTACTTGCTAATCAATTTCGTATACAATAAGTTCGCACAAAGAACAAATAGTTCGGTAAGCTATCCACTGCCGAATGGCGTCGCGCGCGCTGCGACTTTCGGACCCTTTTGACAGCTTTCCGCTCTCCTTGGGAATCGGTAAGGTCACACTTGCAGTCGGAGCTGCAGTGGGAAAGCTTGAAGGTGAACGGAAATCGGGCGTATGCAAATGCGCGAAACCACCTTTGTATACCAAGGGGCGGCTGACGCGCTGACGCACACAACCCGATTCCATTCACAAATGTCAAAAAAAGTGTCGCCAAACGGATTATCGTCAACATAGTGTGCTAAACAGTAAAGTGGAGGCCGTCGATAGAGGCACGGCGTGGCCGAAAGGGCTGCTGCGGTCTTCCTCTTGTTCGTGAGAAGAGAGAAAGGCGACGAGGGAGGCGCCTGCATTGTCCGCAGCCCCGCTTTGTACTGGCCGCAAAGTACAATCCGATGCAAAGCAGCAGCAGAGCCCAACTTATCCAGAATCATGCGCCGCAAACAAAAACCAAACGAAAAACAATAAAA